CAACGCGTCTGACACCCCGTCTGCCAGCTCTTGCCGTCGCTGATTAATAAAACAACGGTTATCGACTCGGTGCAACCGAGATATCATCGCTTTCTATCTTTAATGAACTAACTTCGTCCGCCTACGACTGTCGTTATGATCCTCACCGTCGGCATCAGCTAATGTAAAACGGTTATTTATTCATGATAACTTAGCAGCGACGAACAGGTTTTAGATCTCCAATATTATGATATCATGAAAAGGTAATCATTACCCTATGCTGTCAATATTCTGACATTTCTTAATTAAAGATTTTAATCCAATAAAATAACGAATTCAATTCTGAAAATATGCATATAGAATCAGCACTGGAATAAATTCGATTGAACGCTAAAAGAATAATAAAAAACGTTTATGAATTGACGAAGGTATAGCGCAATAATTATCAAGTAAAAAATGAAAAGGTACAGCTAAATTTGAAATTTTAATCACGCCGACTAAGTTAAAATAAACGTTCTAATAATAATTTTACGATTTTAATTGTAAACGACTTATTTCTATTGAACACAGGCAATTTTTTTATGCAACTTAGAATTGCAAACAAGCTGACGGCCTACCTGATAGAAAGTGGTAACTGTCATCTAAAGACATGAGCAGTACCATGGTCATAACAGAGTATACTGTTTCGCCCACGATACCCTTTATGCGTTGCGTCAGGTGTTATTCCTTTGGACCTTGTAAATTCACTGACATATCCCACCCTTCAAACCGAAACAGCCATGCAAGCACAACTGCTTCACGATAGAAACACGAATGGGGCAGAAATGGCAAAGTAAACGACTTTACAACAAACGCAAATAATCGTATCTATTAAACTAACGTGATACGGTAGAGCCTCTGATACTACAGCCACTACAGGCATACACAGACAAAGCAGAAGCTTCAAACTTGTGACACCTATCTTTTTACGTCGGAAAAAGGACAACTATGCCGAAATATTAGAAAACGTTACGGTCACAGGTAAATATCTACGGCACATTATTTATGCTCTATATTCAGAAAGGTAGGAAATAAACAATCATAAAAATCCTTTTGGGTCCGAGAAACTACACCTCACGTGTATCAAATGGCACCTTTCGGATACGATCGCTCCTGCTTTCAAATCGACATATCACAGATATAGATAGGCGACATAAACTCAGGTGGATGGAGAGAATCGTTTCAGTTTGTTCACTTCACGGCCCAATTCCGAGCGGTATGGTTAAACCGATTACAGTGGCAAGATATTTTAAGCGTATCCCTGTAGTGTTGGACTCCTATCTGTAATTCCGCGTAATCAACAACTACGTGGAATGTGATTTCATTATCACCAGCGGTAAATTTCAACCGGAATCCCATGCAAATGTTGAAACTTTACGGTGCGTTCAATTTTTTTATTTGCCACTGTAAAACTTATTACTAAATAATATACAAATATCTACTTTAGTTCTTATTCTATATTTTATTTCCTAATGATAAAAAATGATATAAATAAAAAGATTGCACTAATTTATATCAATCGTATCGTGGCGAGCTATGAAGAGGACTAAGTTCGGAGAGAAATGAGAATATCCAGAGTTTGTTCTTTTCAGTTTTGGTTTATGTTTTATGTATTTGTCGTTAAGCGTGTTGAATCTCCCATCCGAGAAATAGGTATTTCGACCCGCACGCATGCTAAAGGTAAAGGAGTTAAGGGGCCGCCTGAAAATCAGCGCTATATAGGTACTTCTCGCTGGAGTTGTACATATATAGCAACAGCTGAGGTGGCTCCTATTACTAGCAAAATTAATTGTTTTTTATTATTATTTTTTTTTTATTTTTATTACTGGTAATAAGGATTATCTATCTATCATATCCGCAAAAGAATCAAAAACACCCCGAAATATAAGCAAACTAAAGTTGTAATGTTCTTGACACTTTAATTGTAGAAAGTCTTTTAGATTTTCGCGTTGCATGGTTTAAGGTTTATAGTTATGGGAATCCGATTCTTATTCCGAGAATCACCTGTCGTTAAACAGACTACAGTACCAATATATTTTTAGCGAATCCTCGTAGTGAGCTACTCCTACTATTTATAACTCCACCAAAAACGTCGTGGAATGAGTTTTATTTACTAGTGGCGGTAGTTTTTAAAATATAAAGGTTCACAGTTTAATCAGGGTTATTTTAATTAATAAAAAAAAAGAATTATTACTAGTATGTGTACTCAAGGATTTAAATCAAATAAAAGAGTTTCTATTTATCTGATCCAGGCCTTTCTGTAACCATGTATTTTACATGACAACTAAATTCGTATATGATACCCAACACGGAATGAGAAATCTAGTCCCGATCTAAATAAACGATCGCAATGCTCTAGCTTTAATATTGAAGTAATGGTACGAATTTAGATACCGTCTAGCCATAACAGTCTCGAGAACCATTTAGCGGGAACTGCGGGCGCCGCGGTCTACGGTGTCCTTAGCTGGCTCATCCTTAAACGCACCGCGACCGCTTCTGAGCACCTGACGACGTCCGATGGACCATTTTAAATAATTTTAAATTCGGAACTTCTGCCGGTGACGGCCGAACTTGTGCTAACAATGGCCGCGAAACATTCTCTGATTGCTAATGAGGACATTGTGGAACAACTTGAATTAAACGAAACGGAATAAGGAAATAAGGAATTCAGCAATGGCGAACTTCTGTCGACAATTTTGGGTGTTGGTTGTTGTTTTTTAAAATATTCTCCCTATTTTTAATTAAGAAACTAAACGGGAGCCGTTAATAAAGTTATCTCACAGTTAGGGCGACCTATAGCGTCTCTCGGTTTGTAAATAGAATGCTCTTTGAATAGACGAGAATTCATTGTTAAACTCGTACAACCACTGAATTTGGTCTCAGTCCTAATTGTTTTTATAAATATATACATAAAATTGATTAAATAAGAATAGACTGTAGAATGTGTTATTTTTTTTTTTTTATAAGTTAATTACATAAATGTGTAAGAAATTTATTCAGTATCGACAATGTGTCATTGACATTCATAATAGGATTCAATGGCTGTTCGGTATATGCCACAATTCTATGGCATATATGCTTAAACTGTACTCGACTATTAGCAGTATACACAATTATATTAAATAAAAATTGACAAGTTTTTCAACTAGATCAGACAGAATGTCTTCATAAGAGGTTGATGGTGAAATAGAATATCTGAGTTCACTATAAATGGTAAGAGATATATTTTACACATATACCTACTCGTATTGGATTGCGAGATTGCTCAAACGATATTACTTGTCCAGGAGTCAATTCAGCTCTCCTGGATAGGGATTATTTTGTGCAACCCACCGGTACTTGATAAATTTATTCTACTAAATGAGTAAAGCTAATTTGTAGTAAAGATTTAATGAAATTCACTAATGGATTTTTGATAATTTAAAGGAAAATCTGTGAAACAATCGTGGATAATTACTGATGAATTCTTCACAATGAGCCAACTGATCTGACTTCGTCTACACCTAAATTCCCTCGTTGCTACCAGCGTCAACCGATAGTGTAAGCGAGGTCCTTATCTCAAAACGCTTATTTCATTTAACAAAATTCAGGCAATACGCAAGAATAAATCATATTGGCCTAAATCAAGATGCTGGCTAAATATACAAAATCGAGTTTGTTGACACAACATGTGGAGTCCCAACAAGGGCGACCTCGAATGATGTTTGCCGTTCTCCGCGCCCCCTACCTTACCTCCTTATTCCCTATTTGCGTTTACATCGAGTCGTTTCAACTGATTGCGAAGAAAAAATATTTATTTGTTTACAAATATTTTATTGTAAACATAGGTACCACACATTAATTTCGAGTCAATTCGAAAAATATTCGAACCTTAGGAATTTTATTTTAGTATTACTTTATACAGTCTAGTTTCTATAGCCTTATAACCACAAGTATACGAGAACGCTACTCTGTAACTTTTCCTGTGCGAATTCCATTATTTTTCACTTTCTTTAAATATTTCCATAAATCTTTCCTAGTATATGTCTAGATCATATGGAAAAGCTATGTACTTCTATTTTAAAATACACATTAACATATATTACTAGTAATTACCTACGACTTTGTCTACGTAATAGGGATAAATTAAATGACTAGGATAAAAGGTAACCTATGTTCAACTCCAAAAAAAAAAGAAGTAACTATATATATATATATATATATATATATATATATATATAATATATATTTAGAATAAACTCATAATATATATTATTAGGATAAAATACATATTATTTTCGCACTGAAAGAATCTGAAAATATCTAACAGCAAACGTCAGAAATCATGGGCAAGTCGCGCGACTCTTAATTAAATTGGCTTCGTCGTATCACAATTGTCGCTATACATTTATATCCCTCGAAATATGACAAATATAAATGTATAGCCTCTCAGAAACCATTTATATGAAATAAGGGGTGGCTAGCCAACTGGAAAAAATGCTTAACCTGCTTCCCCAATCACATTTACTTCTCCGTGACAGAATTATGATAAATGTTTTAAAAAGATTTTTTTCTTGCAGATCGTCGTATCGTTTCCCTTTCATCTTATCTGGGCTTTGTGACTGTGTCTTTTATTGAGAATTCTTATTAACAAGTTTAGCATTCACGATAGGTACGAATAGTAACAGCTTATTTTGAGACTTAAAATAACTTCTAGTAATACAGTGCTATGTGATACCGGCATAGAATGGGTCACCCCTCCCTTTCCCGTTAGTGTGGTAAGAGACGACTAAGGGAACTTGATGATCGAGGGATGGACAGCAGCGTCTTTCTTAAAACATCTATAAAGTCAAAGTTATGACTTCATAAGTAATTAAAAATTTAAACTCCCCAGCAATTTCTAATACTGAGAACTGAAATGAGCGTATTGTTGCTCCCAAGATCATATCAAACTATTATTATAATATTTTTGTAAATACACAACGTTTTGTTGCTTGTTTCAGAGTCAAAAACTGGGCATTAAAATTTGGCGTTGACTTATGGGAGTTCGGGCGACACTTCACAAAAATGAATCAAATACAAAACGTGAGTATATTCATTGTTCAACTTTGTTTGTGTATAAAAAAAAAGAGAAGTGTGCATTTCCTTTCAGCTTCAAATGTGGTACGGACTTTGGTCCAACGCGTTCGCACAAAAATGCAGTGTGAGGATTGTTCACACTCTGAATCACCCTTCTCCCCATATCTCCCCGGCTCGGCCTAGATACGTGTCGGACCAGACTTCACGGTATAGGGAGCGATTTGTCGAATCAGATAGCTAAGCTATTACAAAAATTAGATTTAGATACCTGTACTGATGCAAAGTTATGTTCTCATATAAAACTTATTATTATTAATACAAATGAGTTTTGTATATCACTTTTTTCTTCTGTTTCATTGTATTTTTTTGTGACTGTACTCACGTCACCTTTAATATACTTATATATTAAATATACTGAAATATACTTATTTCTATAGGTAAATACTTAATATATATAAAAATCTAATATAGACAGTTTAAAATGGGAAAATAATATAAAAATAATATCATATTTGTTTTTAAATAAGAAATTTGTCGTAAAAATTTTCATCTTCTTTACCAGGCTTTACGGAAATTCTTTGAGAAGAACATGTCAATTTTAATATCAATAATATAAGAGTATTTTAATTTACCATGAGAGAGAAATAGATAAAATGAATATAGAAAACTCTTCATTTTTTTCAAATAATTTTTATTTAAATGCGAATTAAATATTTAATTGAAAACTTCTACTTCTGAATATAAAGAATATTTTCCTTTTTGTGAATAAAATTTATAGAAACTATACTTTGTACACTATATTATTATATATACTTTATATAATACAACAAACAAATACAAAGCACTTTTCGGCAAATCAATACGCTTTAAATGTTTATAAGTTATAGATTATATCTCAAAATAGGCCAGAGTCAATTTTCGAGAATTATGTAATCTCTGACCCGAGAATTCTTTTATTGTATTGGGAACATTTATTCTATTATAATGTATTTCATAAATATTTGAAGTCTTCCTGTTCACGACGACGGTGAGTGGCGATAAGAAATGGTTTGTAAATGAAAGAACAAGTTATATTGCGTCTAAAAACCTCTTCGCTGCTATTTTTTGAAATTGAGGTGAGATCGAAATAATTTAGATATACATATGTAAATCAAATTTATATTCTTTAGTATTATTTAAACAAATGATCTCGTAATCAAATTGTGAATGTATTATATACGATATTGACTACTAGTACCCGATACGACTTCATACGGTTATTATTGAAAGCATAGTCTGTTACTCCCTGATATTTAGCTTTCAGTTGAGCATGAGTTTGCCCATTACAAACAAAAAGAAATAAGTTTTTCCTCTTTATATTATTAGTTTAATTTGTAAGTATTATTGTTATACTTGTCGCTATATTTTGTCAGCATAGGTCTCTATAGGTATGAGTTTTCTTATGTGCAAGCTCAAAATAAACGATATATTATTCCGTTATTTCAATATTATGTTCGCCGCAGTAATAAAACAATCAAAATTCTGCGGAGATCGCAGTTCTCCAAGTAATATAATGTTTCGCAGGAGAAACTTTCTCATCGGAACTTATTCAATATTAGCAGAACGTTCTGATCGACCACCCACTACGCGCTATCATTCATATAAATCATTTGTATTATTTCACTTTCTTATTTACTTTACATGCTCCCGTATCTCGTACATAATACTCCAGAGATCGTTTACTGTTTACTTAATAAATGTTGACTTTGGTACACCCACATACATTAATTTCGTTGTTATTGAGTTAATCTAACAATATTTACTCCAATAAAATAGATTTTTATTTTATTTTGGCCTTTAGATTTGAATGTAAAAATTTATGAATGAGAGTACAAAATACCTGGCATAAAATATTCTTGTTAATAAAAATATTGTTTCATTCAATGTAAGATATTTCTGCTTTGTAGTCTTACTGTAAACTAAACACAACTAAGTATAAATTTATTAGATATTGGCTACACTTATTTAGTGTGATACACATAATATAACATTGAGTTTTCTAAGCTCAAACAATCAAATATCCTTTACCTAGAAATATAAAAGAAACTTTATATACAGTAAAAAACTAAACAATCGATTTTATGTATTAATCTTAAAATTACATATTTTCCCAAATGTAAAGTAAGCAAGAAATGAACTACAAGTTTGCTATATGATTTCATGTTATTTATTCTGAACTTAGAAGCTTCTAGTAGAAGAATATCGATATATCAATAAGATCTCATTTTGAATCTATTTCGTATGAAACCTCACATAAATTTGATTAATTCATTAAAATAACAATATACTTTCATGTTTCCCTGAAAATTTTCATGATTTTATAAGAGCTTAAATCTACGAGTTAAGGACTTTAACGCAAAAGACATTGGCTCATACACCCAGCCGCAGTAATTAGTACAATCCGTCATTTAAATAAACGACTAGCCTAGGGTGGAATTGAAAGCCGGCCACTCAACCGTTCCTCATTATATTATATTATTCTCTTCTTTAATTAAATGCACAGAACAGAAATTGGCGTTAATATTGTCAGATCACGACCAGATGCTGTCTGATCAACAACTGTCTATTCCATACCATACCATACCAAATCAGCTGTTAACTATCCACTGCTAAACATAGGCCTCCATAGGTTTTACCAGTAGTTGCCTTACTTGACAGGCGAGTTGACTACCGCAGTTATCCTTTGGTAATATTTAAAAGGGACCCTCGACCATTAGGTTCCCTTAATCGCCTTTTACGATACCGATGGGAAAAGAAGAGATGGACCATTCTATGCCAGAACCATACAGCATTGTCTAACATAAGAATCATGAATCATGAAACGTAAGAATGTCTATAATCTGTTTTAATAGAGTTTAAATGAAAAGTAATCACATTTTGTTGAAACTTACACATTAAACAGTCTTAACAATTATTGAAATTGATAATATCAATAGGATATCAGTTGATTGTCTTATTTTTTGTTTGTTTAAATTTTTATTAAGTTGTATTGAAACTAACTATATAAACATATTTCTGACTCTGTATTGCGATATTTGTTTCAAATCAAACAAATTGAGTGAGCTATGGCTACGTCCGTGATGATTTTCATTTTGTCTCATTCTATGAAATCGTACACAAATATTTTAAATATACTAACAGAACTTAACGCGAAGCGATTGTAAGTAAACATACCTGATTATTATTATATTTATATATAAGTCCTGATAGTGCATTTAAAATAGGTGTCAACAACGTGAAAATTTAAAATTAATCAATCCAAGTGCTGCATTCAGAGATACACACAGTGTATCTAATCAAATCAAAAGATAATTAATATACATCTATCTATACCAAGTTACTCTGCATACTAAACTCTAGTAACGTAAACGAGTAACAACGAAACTTATTCGTTAGTAGTTGGTAGTAGTAGTTAGTTGTTCGGAAAATTGATTTAGGTCAACTAATTATGGCCAAGGGTGAAAGTAGTAGCGAGCTCATGTTCTATGATCTGGAACCGACGCCGCCATTTGAAGTACTATATTTATAACAATATAGAAAGTTTGGAAAATATTAATATAAACCAATGAAACTGGATATTAGGAAAAGAGAATATTCTTCTTGAGGGAATAATAAAGAGTATCTATCTAAGTAAAATTTCTGAATCGTTAACTCTTCGTAAGTCTGTGTGTGTGTAATTACTTCAGTGATTCTCAGTTTTATCAAGAATATATTTAAAATGTATTCAATCTTTTGAATTTTAATCGTCAATTACAATTAAACAGTACTTTCTTATAAGCAAAAGATAGTGAAAATTTCAAATGATCTCTATCATTTTAAATTTTCGTTATCTGTTACTATTATGTTATTGTTATTTCCTTTACATTCTGAGCTTGCGTTCTGTAATTTTTGTTTATTAAACATTCTTTAAAGTTACTTAAGAAAATTATATGACATGTAACATACGTAACGTACAGTAGCCTGACCTTCACAACACCGAATTTTCCTAGCATGGAGGCCAAAGATACTTACTAAGAATCAATAAATATTCTAAATATGTAATCTTGTATAACGCATTTGTTTTCTATTGAACAAATTATTATTATTATTTATGAATATTAAAAATTACTTATATTACCTTCACTATACACTTCAACGCTTTGTTCCTTTTCGTTACCTCAATAAAGGACTCTAAATATATAAATTTGAGTTTTGCAACGAAATGAATCTTCAGAGCGCTCAATCTGAACATTCTAACGGGAATATGAAATTCCGAGACGCCTTGCCCGCTCGCAACCGACGCGACGCCCGTTCGAAAACTTTAATTTCATTAGTAATACATTTTTAATTAATCGCCCCTAGGTATTTAAAGTTTGAAATTTTGGCGGCATGTCGCGGATTGAAACTTGAAAATGACACTTTGTCCGTTGGGGTAAGTTCCCTCATAATAAATCTCGAGCTCTTTACATTTTTGGGGGCAACATTGATTTACGGCCAATTTAGGTATTAACATAATTATTATTTACTTCAATATTTACAGACAGTTTAGTAACAATACAGAGAACAAGGTTTGTAGAGTCTATAAGTATGGCTTTGTTAGCATGAGAGGTATATGTAGGTTAAGCGTGTTAAATCCTTCCTAAAAACCATATGTATGCCAAATTTGATGACAATTAGTTGAGCTGTTACGATGCGAAAAGATAATCAAATTTATATTAACATTTTTAATATTAGATTATATTTTTTATTTTTTACTGAATTGATATTCTTTAGCGAAAGTCCATGTCACTGGTTATTTGATTACAATTATCTAATTTAATTTCGATACCATTAGTATGCGTGCGACTGCCAACACTCGAAGATTTTTTACTGTTTATATTACCAGAAGTTCTACAACCTTTCATATTAGCCATCAAATCTTTGACTGCTATTTAATCCACGCACGTTTTGCAACATGTTTTTCATCTCTAAACGAGATATTTTCAAGC